CTCCTGGTACACACGTGTCGCGGTCTCTCAGTGATACATACCTAGGAAAGCAATTGCTATGCTATAAAATAGGAGCAGAGTTGACCCTTGAACAACATGGCAGTTAAAGAAGTTGATCCTCTGTGCAGTCTAAGTTCATAGATAACTTTTGACTGCCCCTCTCTAATTTTTTAAAATTTCAAATTAGTATTAGGGTACATCTGATTAGATCACAAGGTTTGCATTTGTTAGGTGAGATCCTTTTTGTAGGGAGGTGTGCCACATACCCTTACATTGTGCCCTTAGGTGGGAGCACACCAAGCCACCTCCCTTCTCTTCTCTCCTTCCTCCCCCCAACTTGAATTGAATTGAGTTTTCTCTTCTGTGGGCATGTATTAGTTTGTCTGCTAACTTCATATTAGTATGGAGTATATTGGATACTTGCTTTTCCATTGTTGTGATACATTACTAAAGAGAATGCTCTCCAACTCTGTGCAGGTTAATACAAAAGGTGTAGAGTCTCCATCTTTTTTATGGCAGAGTAGTTAGTATTCCATGGTATACATATAGACTCCCTCCAAATTTAACTACTAATAGCCTACTGTTGATCAGAAGAAGCCTTACTGATAATATGGTTAACACATTTTTTGTGTTATATGTATTGTATACTGTATCCATAGAATAAAGTTGGCTAGAAAAAAGAAAATATTATTTAAAAATTAAGGAAAGGCCAAGTGCAGAGGCTCATGCTTATAATCCCAACACTGGGAGGCCCAAGTGGGTGGATTGCCTGAGCTCAGGAGTTTAAGACCAGCCTGAGCAAGAGCAAGACCAGTCTCTAAAACTAGCCTGGCATTCTGGCAGGTGCTTATAGTCCCAGCTACTTGGGAGGTTGAGGTAAGGGGATCACTTGAACCCCCAAGAGTTTGGGGTTGCTGTGAGATATGATACCACAGCACTTTACCAAGGGTAATGAAGTGAAACTCAGTCTCAAAATAAATAAATAAAAATAGAGAAAAGGAAATATATTTAGAGTACTGCAGTATATTTATCAGAACTTTAAGTTTATATTATCTGTTTACAAGGTAAATTGTCTGAAATGGTGGGCAGCCACAACTGCAGGCCTCAATCTAAGGCACATAACAAGTAATTCAAATTTGTCTCATACTGACATGACTGTGCTTCTTGGAAGCACTTCCAGTTTACTAGTGGCACTTTCTGTGGGTCCCATGGTGTTCTTTAGGTTTACCATATTGCACAAAACACAATGAAAAATACACAGTTGTGACAGATCACTTTTACTGCAGTACACAATTTACTGGAGAGATGAACTGATCGTGGAGAAATGACTAGTGGCACCACGGGTTTTGAGCAGATACTTGCAGTGCTTGAGCTCACCACAGTAGCAACAAGAGGTGGTTAAAAATTATTCCATTTATAAAGTATGTACTACGGTTGATTTCTGTAGTTATGATTTAATACTGCACCTTTATGTTTGTTTGCATTTTTCTTTGATTGTGAATGGTGCCACGAATGGTAAGTATGTGAGTTTTAATACATTTCGACTTTTTATTAGAGGTTTGTGTATATTTTATAGTAGTAAATGACTAAATAGTTGAGTAAGTACATATGTTTCATGCATTCATGACATACCTAACATTTTCTTAATTTTTTTGATATTTCAGGTTGTATGGTCCATCTGTAAGTTTTTTCAGATTGTCACAAATCTCAAAAAATTTCCACTATACTTAGTGAAAAAAATATTGTCAACTTGGACCCATACATTTCAAACTTATGTTGTTCAAGGGTCAACTGTATATTTAGCTTAACTGGATAAATCTGTGTTCTTATCCAAAGTGTTTGAACACACGTCAGCAGTATGTAGCAGTTACAGTTGTTTGACATCCTCATCAACACATAGTTTTGTCAGTCATTTATTTTTACCTATACAGTCTGTGAAATATTATTATTGAATTGTCATTTGTGAATTTCATTTGCCTGATTTATTGAGACTGAGCATTTTTCCTATTGGCCTTTTGTGTTTCCTTTTTTTGGAAATTTTTATTCATATTTCTTTTAATGGAGTTAGTTTTTTTCTTACTGATTCTTAGGAACTTGTATATTCTGGACACTAGAATTTGTTTGCTTTTATATAACCCAATTGTCTTTCCTCAATTTGTTGCCTTGCTTTGTCACTTTCATCAGCTTGACTAAAATTTTGACTTTTGTATTTAAATATTTAATCCTTGTACAGGAGAGTTTTTTAATATTTATTGAACATAAAAATCCAATTTGTTTTCAAAATACAAAAACTAGTTTTCTAATCCCATCAGTTCTGACATAAATCAGGTTTCCATATGTGTATGGAAAAGTTTGAAGAGTTTATATGAGCTTCCAAATAGATTTTAGAATTAACTTGTCAAGTTTCATTTTTTAAAACTGTTAGACTTTGATTGGAATCATAACAGATCCATTGGGGAAATTTTCTTCTATCTATAACCTAGTCCCAGCTAGTAGGACAGCCAGTAAGTCAAAAGACCGTCTTGGTGCAAGGAAAATGCTTTTTATTTGCAGAGCCAGCAAACTGAGAAGATGGAGGACTAATGTCCTAAAGAACCATCTTAAGTTACATCAACTTTAGGCTCCTTATTATGTTAAGGGAAAGGGGATGTGGAGGGGATTTGGAAGAGGTAACCCAGGAACATAGACACCTGGGCATCAGGGAGAGTTCAGTGAAGTTGTAAAACTTCATTGTTCCTCATCAGTTAACTTTGAAGGATATAGGTCAAGCCATGATGTGCCTATAAATTTTTAACATAACATTGTTACTTGTATGCATAGTTTTCTTATCTCCCCAGGAGTTAGTTTTAAGAAAGGGGCGATAGTCATCTTTCTTCTAGAACTGAGCTACAGATTAAATTCTTCCCATAATTGACTGGCCTGTGTGCACAGCTAAGCAGAAGGTTTCTGCAGGGGATCAGAAGCAAAATGGAGCTAGTCATGTTAAGCCTCCCTTTCCTACCCATAAACCTGATTATCTCTCTCATTTTATTTAGCTCTCTTGAGTGTATTTCAATAAGTTTTATAATTTTGTCCATAAAGATCTTATGTATCTTTCATGAAATTTATTCATAGGTTTCTTGCATTTTTAATGCTAATGTCAATCATTGTAAAAATGCAATTTTAATTTTCAGTGTTTTGAAATGAAGTTGGTACTTGTATATTGATCTTATATCTAGCCACTTTGCTAAACTCTTTTATTAAGTTTAGTAAATTACATATATTTTGGATAATTTTTCCATGAACATAAATGCTATAAATGCTAAGAGCTTCATTTCTTCCACTCCAGTTCATTTTTTATTTTTTCTTATGTTTTTCCATCATACTTTGCTGAATATAATCTCTAGTACAGTACTGATTAGAAGTAGAAACAGTGGGCATCCTTGTCTTGTTCCTCAATTTTAAGGGAGTGCTTTTAGTATTTTTCCATTGAATACAACAGTTACTATGAGATTTGTCAGTGCCAGGGTCGCCAGGTTGCTGCCGTGGCCTATCTCACTGTCCAGAAACGGACCGCTATGCTACCTTGCTTGGGATAAACTCCCCTTACGTGCCCGAGGGCAATTTGTCTTAGCAGGGGGGAGAGAGAGAGAGAGAGAAACAGTAGGAGAGTGAATCTTAGCAGTCATCATAGAAGGGTACTGGGTAGGCACCCTCCGTGCAGGAGGAGCAAAAGAGAGTGAACAAGTCCGTGAGAGAACAAATGAATCCGGACTAACCTCTCCTGCAGCTACTTATAGAAATGATCCCGTGGCTATTTACACCACAGGTGTGGAGACCACAAAGCACTGATGCTCATGCTCTCTTGCTAAGGAGAACCAAATCCCTTCCCCATGCCCTTATCACCAAGGTGTTATGGAGTTGTTATATCACAGGTGTTTCTTATAGAGTGTTCAAAGCTTAACTCTTGCTTCTCCTTCCCTTGAGTCATCTGGTCTCCTACAGAGATGTTTTTTTAATCAGCTTAAATCAGCTTCTATTCCAATTTTGCTGAGTTTTTTTTTTTTAATTTCAAAATGAGAGGGAAAAGAAACTAAATCTTTGTTGGTAGTAAACTCTTTCCCAAGCCTTTTAATTGTGGGCTTTATTTTTCCCAGAAAATTTCTCTGAGACTCAGGAATGTATCCTTGCTGCTAGTAGCCAAGTGGCTTCCTCTCTTTTTGCTATCATCTAAGGAACCTTTCCTTACTAGGCACTAAGAACAAGGCAAAAATCTATTCCTCAAGGAAGTTCTTGGGAGGGATAGAAGAAGCAATTTTGCAAAACATAGTTATAAAATAAAATGACACATTTTATCATCTCCAGGCCTCACTGGTCTGATTTATGGATTGGGCAGTCCTTTGAGTGGGGAGAAAGAAAGGAAGAAAAACTAGCTGGGCATGGTGGCATGTGCCTATAGTTTCAGCCACTTGGGGGGCTGAGGCAGGGCAGATAGTTTGAGCCTGGGAGTTGGAGGTTATAGTAAGCTATGATTGTATCACTGTACTCCAGCCTTCAGTTATAAAAAAGAAAAAGAATTCCAATGGGATATGATATTTGAGCTGAGTGTTTGCATGATGATTATTTTCTAATCTCCATGGACCTCATTTGTGTCCTCAGGGTTAGAGTAGTTGTGCTCCAACAGCCTTTCTCACTTTGAATTTTGTCTCTTTGACTTCACAAATAATTTTATACTTTTGTTAAATATTTGGCCTCCTACCTCTGGTCCTTGGTTTCTTTCGTAACATATGCTTAGGGTTATGAATAACAAAACAGGATCTGTCTTCTTGGTTCTGTTTTGTTAAGTAATATCAACACATTTCATTTATAGAATATTGACAATATGAATCATAACAATTAATCTATTAACTTTGTTCTGTTTTTTGTTGAATTGCTCAATTTATTGTTACCATAAATAGATTTTTTAAATTCCAGGCTTTCTGTAATTTCTAAGCACATTTCATTTGTATGTCTTATTTCAGTGCTGGACCCAAAGGAGACAACATTTATGAATGGAGGTCAACTATATTGGGACCCCCAGGATCTGTCTATGAAGGAGGGGTGTTCTTTCTTGACATTACCTTTTCACCAGACTATCCATTTAAGCCCCCTAAGGTCAGTATGAAGTATTTATCCATTTTTAGCAATATATATGATTATATGTGTATTTACATATAATATTCTCAAAAATGCATATGTAAGAATGCATGTCTATTCTGTTAGCATAGACAGCTTCCCAAGATAGTAGTGTGTGAAAGAAAACAGCATGAACAATTATAAGGTACTACCCAGTCCCAGCTTTTTATTACAGTTTCCTTTTTCTCATCCTTTTTTATTGTCTCCTCTCTGTGGTATTTGTTTCACTGTAATATAAAACATTGCGGTTTTATGGCTGGTAATGGGGGAGTAAGGTTGGGCTAGGGCTATTGTGAGAGCCCAGACAACCAGACATACCCTAGAACCAGAGCCAGAGCAAATCCAAGCTCAGAATTCAGGATAACTGCAGAGGAAGCCTCACCAAGGCAGGATTTATAGCACTAGCTGTGTAGCTTTAAGTTTTGGTACTTCTAAGGTTTGGCTGCTCACCTGAAATACACATGTACTAAAATGGAAAGTGTGGCCCACAGAGGTTTAAAAATCATGCCAAGGAAATGTAGTAAAGAAGTATTTATAATTCATTAATAAAACTGATGAATTAATGAAAACTAATTTATTCATGTCCATGTCAAAAGAAAGCACAAGAGTGCAGTGCATTCAGGACAGAGAAGAGCTCTATTTACTTAAGCCAAGATTATATGTTTTAAGATGTCTTTATATTCCTTTCTACTGGCTATAAGCCAATCATTTGACTCTTATAAATATCATGTCCATTAGCATTTGTTCTCCAGTATAACAGAGGAAATCGTCCTGAGATACTGACTCTGTGTTTTAAAAATTCTCATCTGGCCCTGAATTAATTTCTCAGTGCACAGGAAAATGAAACTTCTTTGAATTGTAGGTTGGAGTAAACAATTTTTAAAAATAAGAATAAAACTAGACCTTCACCATGAGTTTTCTGTCCTTTCCTCCTGTTTTTTTTTTTTTTCCTCCTATTCTTTCTTTTTTCTTCTTTCCATTAATGCTTGGATAGTGCTTTTGTTAGGTGTTGAGGGGCCAGGTGTCAGGTCCCCATGTTCCCAGGTTCTTGGTTCCCAGTTCTGAAGAATGGTTACTGATACTGAGTTGATAGAATGAACAAGCAGAGCAAGCAGGTGAAAGCAGGCAGAGTGCCAAAGTTTTATTAAAGGTTATAGCATAGTATGTTCCAAATAAGGAATGGGTCACCCCTGCAAGTAAAGGAGACACTTGGTTTAATAAGCTTTCTCCTTTTATGCTGATTGTCTAATTTTATATTAAGTGGGAGATGAATGTTTGTGGTTTTTCTTGGGAAATGGTGGAGAATTCCTGGAATTAAGAACCTTCCCCTTTTCTATCCTTGTAAGTCAATTTCCAGGTGTTCTCATAGTATTTGTAAACTATCATGATGGTGGGGAATGTGATTTTTTACTGTTAATGAGAATAATTCACTTAGAGAGTTAGTGAATTCAATAGAGAGACATTGATACAAAGGCATTTCCACTTTGTGGTTTCTCTGCCTCTTTCTGATTGGTCAGTCTTTGGAGACCCTCTATTGTAGACCAAACATATGATTAGTCTTTAAGGACCCCTTTGACATGTCATCTGCTTTCTTGGGAGCCCCTTCCCTAGGGTTCCAAAACAACCCAAGTCAGTATGACCACATCTGTCTGTCCATGTCAGAAAGTCCCTGTGACATTGATTAGCCTCTTGCAACTCACCTGCAAGTCCCCAGGAAGTTTTGATTAGCTCCATTCCCATTATAATTCAAGCCAGCCTGACTTAAGCCAGTCCAAAATAGCACCCACCACCCACACTGTTCATTTCTAACTAACTGCTTAACCTAACACTATGATATTAAAGCAATAATAAGTAATAATTACAATTATTCTCATTTTACTAATTAGGGCACAAATAAACTAACTTGCCCAGCGTTGTGCAACAGTCATCGTGTTAAGATTTAAACTTGGGAAGTCTAGCCCCAAAGCCCATGTTCCTTATTTCATTACACAATACATTTTATTCAAGTGTACTGGACGGGTGGCACTGGTTACCACCCAGAGCTTGCATTTGGTAGATTTTCCATGACAAAGCCATAGTAAATCTAATACTTTCTTTTACTGATTGGGAACTTTGTACATTCATTTTCTACTTTGGACCAGCCCATAAATCACCTGAAGTACCTATTGTACTCAGTGATAGGAGGCTCTTTTCTTTGACAACCTCTACAATAAAGGATGTACAAGATGTAGAAGAGGAAGGAAAACTCAGACCAGGCAGCTGAACTGCTTGTAAATCTGGTGTGGTCTGGTGTGGTCTCAGAAAATGTGTGTTCTTATCCAAGTTCTACATGACAGAAATTTGTATATTAAATGAAGCTAGAAAAAGCAAGAGGAAGAGAGTCATTACTACTGTTGAGTTTCTTTACTGAGTCAAGCCCTGTTCTAGACATCAGCTGTGCCAACTCATCTCTTCTCCTAAAATACTCCAATTAAAGTCTAGGGTGCTCCCCCCTCATGGATGAGAAAACTTAGATGAGGCTTACAGAGGTTTTCCAAGAATACACAACCAGCAATCTATTGAACTCTGACTCTGGGATCTGTGTACTTAACCTCCGAATTGAGAAGTTTATTAGTAAAAATAGGGCATGGAAAGAATTTAACATTTGTCCTCCATATTTCAGGGACTATGGTATAGGTTGGCTATAAGACATTGTCAGCTGTATTTGACACCAAGTCTTCAGTTGAGTACTTAACCACCAATGATAGTATTCTCTCTGGGAAAATATTTGTCTAGTGAAAGTCTAAGAATAATGCATTATTGCCAAGAAGAAAAGGGTAATAAACTGATTGTATGTCCAAAAGGTTTTAACACCATATTTATTTTATAGTGTGAACATATATTTTGATGTTATAATTCAGGTATCTGTATATGTGCTGCCAAAGCAAGCACTATAATTCAGGTATCTGTATTTGTAAAGCAGAAGTGCTTTATATTTTGTTGGGGATTACATTTCTTATTCATAACTCCTCAGAGTTCTCAAAATCTGTACTTTTAAAATAAGGATTAATATGTGAATACTTTAATTTTTTTTGTTTGTTTGGTTGGTTTTTTTACAGTTTTTGGCCAGGGCTGGATTTGAACCCACCAACTCCAGTATATGGGGCCACTGCCCTACTCCTTTGAGCCATAGGCACCACCCTACTTTAATGTTTCTAATTTTACAGTCTACATCTCTTATGGAATAAAAAGCCATTGCAGATAAGCAAAAAGGAAGATATTTAGCTATAATCATAGCCCCAAAACTCATTATTCATGACATTTTGGTATATCTTTTTTTGAGATTTTTTGCTATTTTTTTTTGTTTGTTTTTTTGAGATAGAGTCTTATTTTGTCACCCTCAATAGAGTGCTGTGCTGTCATAGCTGTCACAGCAGTCTCAAACTCTTGGACTCAAGTGATCCTCTTGCCTCAGCCACCGAAGTAGCTGGAACTAGAGGTACCCACCATAATATCTGGCCATTTTTTAGAGATGGGGTCTTGCTCTTGCTCAGGCTGCTCTCAAACTCCTGAGCTCAGGAGTAGGCCTCCTCAGCCTCCCAGAGTGCTAGGATTATAGGTGTGTGAGCCACGGCGCCTATGAGATTTTTGTTTTCTGCATATATACATACACACATCTTTTTACCAAAAATGAGCCACATTCCCCATGGCTTCATAATTACATATTACCTAACATATATTTTCACCCAACACTATAGATTTCCAGTGAGTATTTAATTGTGTTAAAATTATAGAGGCTACATAGTATTTCATTACATAAAATAACAAAATTTAATCAGGTTTCTGTGGTTGGACATTTTAAGTTCTTGTCATTGCTTCTGTTACAGTCATCCTTTTAATTAGATATTTCATATACTTGTATGATTATTTTCTGAAGCTAAATTTGTTGACATGGAATTTTCAGGTAAGGAGTTTAAACATTTTTGGTAAGGTTTGATAAATTGTACTCCAGAAAAATTCTATCAGTTTATACCAGCCCATCATTTTAATACTTACACTCTCCTCAGCTTTGAGAATTATGAATTTTTAAAGTCTCTGTCAGTTCAGTAAATCAAAAATGATATCTTATGATTGCTTTCTTAAAGGTCTTATACCAAATAAAATTAACAAATTACTTGAATTCAGAAGCAAAATGATGGAATATTACATTCCTATATATTTTTTCCCCACCAAACAAACTGAAAACATTCTGATACTCTGTGTATAATGACATACATCCTAAGCTAAAGAATCATGTATGGTAATAGGTCAGGTTATCTGTTTTTACAGACAAATTGATTCTTAATTTGTCCTTTTCTTTCTTACTATGAATGACATAGTAACACATGTTATAAAGAAACATAAGGATTCTAAATAGATTTAAGATTAGATAGGACAGTTAAGCATCTTTGGAATTGATTTTCAGTATCTCAGCAACTTAGGCTCTGGCCAGACATGTTGTGGTACTATTCATATCTATTAATAGAAAACATTATTTTCTTTGGTAATGGTGAGACAGTATCTGCCAATGGATCTTCTCCAAAAAGGAATGATAAAATTTGTGCCTCAAGTGTTTAAAAAAAATTATATTCATACATAGAAATATGTGTGTGAAACAAATTAAGAATAATATTAAAAAGCTTTTTGGTATAGTTCTTTTACTACAAATTTTATAAAATACTTTTTTTTCTTCTTTTTTTTTTTTTTCTTTAAGACACAGTCTCACTCTACTACTCAAGCTAGAGTGCTGTGGCATCAGCCTAGCTCACAGCAACCTCAAACTCCTGGGTTCAGTCTCCCAAGCAGGTTGGCCTCTAGGCGCCAACCACACCACCAGGCTAATTTTTCCATTGTCAGTAGAGACTGGGTCTCACTCTTGGCTTAGGCTGTTCTCCAACTCCTCAGGCTCAAGTGATACTCCTGCCTTGGCCTCCCAGAGTGCTAGCATCACAGGTGTGAGC